AAAGCCAGGGAATACAACAGGAAGAAATTTAAAAGTACAAAGAACATTGAAATGAACTAAGAAGCTAATAAACGATGGGATAAACAAGAATAACAACTTGGATAAAAGAAAACCCTAAAACCCAACCCTAAGGATCACAACAAAAATGGCTTTTTATCTTTACTGATATTCCATTTTACTGGAGTGCTATCTAGTGGTGCACTACATGAATTACAAATGGACAAAAATGTGCTATGGTCCGTCTCCATTAGGCACAGGACCACTATGGAACCCACTGAGTGTCATAAATGGGTCATAAAATTTCATAAATAAATTACAACTACTTAAATGTATTTTGCTCCAAGCCCCTGCTAGGAGCTGAGGTTGCCTCCTGATGTGACTTTGGCAGAAAATAACAGCAACTGATACCTGTACTTGACTACCGTGTTTCTTACATAATGCTAAAAAAAAAACATTCATTGTTTATTTACTTACCTGTCAAGAAAGTCTGCAACTTCCTTGTTTTATAGCCCCACTTCCTCATTATTTGTCTCCACCTTTTAAAAGCTAAGCAGATGTAGACTCTCATCTTCTACTGGTTATTGGTTATTTTCTTGGTTTCACTGGGAAAGAGTTGGGTTGGTCCACTATTTAAACTGAAAACAGCAAGTAGAATGATCTCCAATCATTTCTGCCTACTTCTCGATCATCAACACATCTTCTTAAATGGATAAAAAACACCAGTAACAAGTTTTTTCCCTTTACACTACTGTTATCAAAGATGGCAATGCAACATGGAGACTTCAATTGGTAGTACCACCACCTTTGTTTTTTTTTTTTTTTATAAACAATTTATTCTAAGCTATGAGAACACTTTCATTTTTGTTGTGATTGTTATTAGACTTTGGCGGAATATTTAGTTATGAAAGCAATGTTTATTTTTTTGCAAAAAAAGAGTGAAATTAAATGTACACTGTTCCTGTAAAACAACAATACATCTGCCAGTCTTGTTAAATTTAACATACTATCATAGCTGATTAGAAACAAAGAACAAAGTAACACCAACTTTAAAGATATGACAAACTTTACTATCTATTAAAATTTGTCATAATTTTGGGACTTGCAAGTGCAAATTTATTAATACATATGCCCCATTTACACTAGCCTTTTAAAACCGTGCCGAGAGCATTTCGAGCATGATAACTAAGATCACTGTTGAGTGTACTGGAACCAAACACAACCAAACCACACTAAATCTAGCATCGACTAGATTCCAGCATTGTCTGTCGCTGCTAAACCTGCCAATGGCACCAATGCTGCTTCAACCAGGCCAGCCTCTTCAACCCAGGGGGCTACCACCCTCACAGCATCATCATCAACGTCCTCTTCCTCCCCTGAGCCAGGAGAAATGAGTGCTTCAGGAGCTGGAGGCAGTAGTAGCAGCTCAACAAAAACTGCTGCTTACCTTATCAATGCTGCCCTTTAAAAAATGAAATTGTCTAGAGAGCTGTTCTAAACAAAATTTCTTTTTGTTTACACGTGTGTATACAAAATGACCAAATTAATCTAAGTCTAAATCTAGTACTAGTTCAACAGTAGGGCTCGGCCAGTTCAGTTGTGGCTCGGTTCTCTGATAACAAAGAGCGCATCAGCAGATCTCCTTAAAGTCAGCTTCCAGTAGTTGCCGGTAATGCCCATCAGTAACTTTCTTGCCAAATGCCATAAAACGGAAGATGAAGAAGAACTGTATACAACAATTGAAATCTTCTCAACACTACATTTTATAAAATAGTGTCAAAAGAGCATGGTGCGACCAAAGGCTGCCTTTTTCGCCTGACACTAAAAAAACAATGAAATATCACAATTATAACCAAACATAACATCCTAATGTTACGGACGCCCTATTTCGATTTGGTTGATCCTCCCCTTCAACCATAGCAGTAGTTCATCACTTGGAGGCGAGGCACCATGCTAGCGTGATGTTTAAACGGTCGTAAGGAACCATGCATTTACAGTTAACTGATCCAAGCTCGGTCCAAATGTGGCACGGATAAGTTATAGATGGGTAATTCAAATGGGGAAATATTGCAAAATATCGAATTTGATTTCTATTAAAAACACCATAGAAATATACTAAAAAAAATTTCAATTATCTTTTTCAAAGTTTTTTTATGTTTATATTTGTATTTTTTTTTCTAAAGGCTGATAAAACAAAAACACACACTCATGCTGTGATTTACTGAAGTAAAGCTTTGATGCAAAATGTATGCAAATGTGGTCTTTACTAACAAAAATAAGAAAAAAAAATGTAAGATGGGGTTGTTGCAGTACAAATGTTCAGTTCCCTCGTCTACAGTACAATAACATAGCTTTGTTTTATCCTGCTCATGGAGACCTAACCTGAACTTCTTCCCTCCTCACAAATACCTTTGACTGCAGTGGCATTATCTATTAAAATGTACATGCCAATGTTTGCCGTTCATTACTCTTTATGCTTTTTTTGCATGACATACACAAAGCAGATTGCATCAAATATAAGCAAGCCTAAATACAAAAATAAACATCAATAGATGAAAGCCTTTTGCATCAGGTTTCAAATTCCCTTGCTGCTGCAGGTGATCCAGTAAAAATTGAGGAGAATGAGAAACACAATACAGCAAAGAACCATCTTCGTCCTGAACTGCTGTTGCATTCCTTCAAGCACTGTATCTGCACAATTTCAGTGCAGAAATCCACAAAAAAAAAAACTTTTTAAATGGAAAGGATCTGAATCATACTGTAATATGCATAGCTGTAAAAGTCAGTGTAATTATTTTTGCCTCAAAGTCATATGCTTGAAGATTTGCATTGACAGAAGTAAAGCATGCAACAGATTGTAAAATATTTACTACAGTGTGTTCAAACCTGTAATGTTCTGATTTCAAAAATTTTCAAATGTGTTCAAAAATGAGATGGACTTATAAACTGCTTTTTATATGCATGCAGGAAAATAAAAGTACTAAATGTATCTCTACTGTATAAATAACATAAACCTGATTTCTGAATTTTGGGAAAAGGAAAAAAAAAGCTAAATGTTCTCTCAAACAAACAATAACTAGTTGTCCATAGACTTAATAAATAAACAAATATATAAAATAAAATAAATGTTAATCATTTAACAAAGAGATCATTTGTGGCCAAGAGGATGCATTTTGTTTATACCGACAATAATAAAAGTATTTTTTTTTTTTATATATTAGCTGTATAGGTTTGGCTGTAATTAATGTAATGCTTTGTATACTAAATACCAAAAAGAAGATCTACAAACAAGCCTTTCACTTCTTATTAAATATAACATTTTAATGAGAAATAGATTATTATATGAAACATTCATTTAAAATTAGATGGTATAATAATAATCCCAAAAAAAGAAAAAAAAATCATACATAAGCAAGTTATTAGGTGTAAAAATGCTCAGACATATTTATGGATACATGTACAGAAAGCAACACTTTTGTAGCAAAATGCCATACAAGTAAATGTGCTTGTCTTATGGACCTTGCAAGTGGCTTAAACTAAATTGCAGTATACAGTATGTTTATCATATAAAACAGTCATAGGTGGTCATGAGTCTAATCAGGTATATAACACATTGGTGCCCCATAGTTTGTGCTAATGTACTTGGAGGGCATTTTTTGAAATAATCTTTGTATTTCCTTTCAGCATTGATCTTTTATGATAGTGTTACTGTAGCACAGCATTATTAATGTAATAGAGATTCTATTTACAAATATATTGTACAACAGAGGACAGAAATATCCACCATCATTTTGAGTTATCTGTTGTCTCTGTCTGGTGGTTAGTCACCTCCTCATGCACAAGCCTCTTTTTATGGTGTTGTCTTTTGTAGGACAGAAAAAACAATATATTTGATCTACATTAATGATCCTAAATAATTAAACTAAATAAGTGTTATTCCTTTTGTAAAACGTCATTTTTCCAGCTTTAAACATATTTAAAGGGATTGATAACAGGCACTTAATCATAATAATAATAATAAAGTAACAGTTCATTTGGATAGTCCATTACTGACACTGAATAAATATGGCATGCACTTCCGTGGCCAATTAGTGAACAACTTTGACTTTTTACTGTGTCTCAGTGTTTAAATTTTTATAGGAATAAATCATCTACACGTTTCATATCTTTACATTGTGAGTGCAATTTGTCAAGGTAGCTTCTTAAATGAGTTCCTTTTATGACTTGGGGATAAAAGCAAAATGCAATGTTGACCATGATTGTCACACTGGTTACAGCATTTTGCAGACATGTTAAACCTTTGACCATACACCTACATTAAAACTACAATGAAGACAATAGCTTAACATGCATGAGTTTCAGGTAATACTACAACACGTGTACTTTCAATTAATGGCAACTATTGCAGCAGCTTTGTTATGCCTGTTCTTTTATAACCAAGTAAATGACAATCAGTGGTGATTATATGAAACTATTCATGCTCCAGTGACTTTATCAGGACACACTGCCAGACTGCTTCTTTTAGTGGAAACTCACTAATGGGCACAAGTAAGAAAGTGTAACATGGAAGTATGTTAATTGAGACACAGTGCTTGTATTTGGATTGACTTGCAAACAAAATAAGGAAAGAGTCCAAAAATAGCAAATAATAATCTATATTTTAGAACTCCATCCTAACACTGTTGCTAACAGCTTTCTGAATGGGATGATCCTGATTAGGTGTCCAATATAAAATTTATATTTAACAGTTTTCTTAAATCATATTGCACATTTTAACCCAAAACCAGATTTTAGTTTCAATTTGTTGCTCAACAATTACCAAATAAGCAAGTACCTTCTTACTAAGATCACTTAAGAAGTAAAAGTGCTTTAACATAGACACATGGCGGGTGTAACAGTAACAAAAACAAAAAGATAATTAGGAAAATCACAATGACGCCAAGCCAGAGATGATTGCCTTTGATTCATTCTAGAAGAAAAATCTAGATAAATCAAGAAAAGGCTGTGGTTTGTTTGTTTAATGTATTAAAATCAGTTAAAATTGAAATTCCCAAAACCTATTTTATCAAATGTTTTGGAATTCCAATTTTTTATGTTGTTTGCATTGAGTCCTTCACAACACAAGGGGGTTTGCACATCTGTCTTGAATCTTTTTTTTTTTTATCAAGACTTGTTTCACAAAGACAAGAGCAGTTTTTGATGAAGAGGACAAGGAAATACATCACAAAAAATACACATCATGAGATTACTAGACATGAAATTAATAACAACACAACAAAAAACTTACATATAGGATTTACTGGAAAAATTGTGGTTTTCAAATATATGAGAACGATTTCAGGGCTGGTACATTTTACTCAAAAAGGGCTTCTAATTTGTGTTTAAGGGGACAACCTTGTTTAGTGTCTTTATTTTTTGTGTGATGCTCAAAAAAAGATAAATAAAAAATAAAATAAAAACACAACAGAATAACACACTAAGCTTGTTTTTGTAGTGAGCATTCAGTAGAGGGGCCCACCTGCAAATATCAACCACATTATAGGCGTTTCAGCATTGAATTATTAAAATAAAATCTGACCATTAATACATAGGTAGTGCTTTATGTTAAAGACTGAGTTACAACACAGTCACAGCTCTTTTTATACTGCCAGCAACATGCAGAAAATGTTGAACTTCATAGCTTAAAACATAAAGAGAATTTTTTACATATGGTCATAAAAAGCTTACAGAGTAACACTTTCAAAAGGTATTATAAGCTTTAATATAAGATTTTTTTCTTATTATTTTTCCTGCAGCACAAAATACAAGTTAAATGGCTTTAACAACACAATTTCACTCAACATGTTATGTCTCCACTCGCCATTTTTCTTTTTGCTGTGCTCTTGTCTGAAATCACTTGAAGTTGTTGAACAAAAACATACACATGGAACAGGTACAGGGTGAGCTTCATGACACACTGTATGTCTACCTCAGGAAAGTGTATGGCTTTCGGTTGTCTTGCAAATGTGCCTGAATGATGAATGTTTACGTTTTGCTCTCAGTGCTGAAAAGCTCCACAGATCAGCAGTATCATGTACATTTTGCAAAGCTGTACAAAATAGCATTGATTGTTATAATCTTCAGACCACAATATTGCGTTCACTCGCCGGGAGGTATACTGTACTGTTTTTTTTTTTTTTTTGAAAAACAAAAAAATAAAAAACAAGCAAAAAGCTGGCGTTTCATAAGGGAATGAGAGGGAGCATTCAAAATGCAAGATAGAACAGAGACGAGGGGTCAATCTCATATGACACATTCAATTAACAAAGTGTTAAGCATTAATGCAAAAAAGATGTTTACAGACACATTCACACACATTCAATCACACGTATGTATATATAAACAGCTGGCTTTTGTTTTTATCATGACTCTTCATTACTGCCTTGTCATGTGCCTCATATTTCAGAACAAGGACAGTTTTAAATTCCTTTCTAAAAGCAATGCTGATTTCCTGTTGTCTCTTAAATGTAAAAAATGTAATGACTACTTATTCACTAGAGCATTTAATTAATTAGAATGTATAAATATTTTATTCTAAACTGTCTGGTATGTTTGAAATACTTTGCCCATCCAGTGAAATAAACCGATGTCTGGTCTGCCCTTGTGTTTTTTTGTACCTTTAAAAATGTCAGATTTTTTTTCTGAAGAAAGAATGGCAGTTTCAGATGCAATCTTTGATCCCTTATGTTAAAATCAAGGCCTCCTTTTCCTCCAGTACATAGATTCGATGTTTTCTTTTTTCCACTTGTTCCTTTCAAGGTTCTTTAAGGAAATTACAGACATGCTGGGACAAATATGATACAGTCCATATAGAGTTTCAATTGATCTTTTTTATCTGCCAGAAAAGCTTTTCATCTTTACCCTTTTCTTGTTTTTTAAGAATTATACTTACAAAGTTAATATTACATCAAAAGGCAGAAAAGGTCAAAAAAGAAAAGCGAACAAAAATATGACTAACATTCCCTCATAGTTAATTAGTTTGTTGTTTCTCTGTTGATTACTGTTCTTATATTAATGTTATGCTCAACATAGTTTTGTAGTCAGGTGGTCCGATTGTTTGAGTATCTCTGTACTGTACATGTCCAAGGCATGGTTTACTCGTATCATCTCGCTGTTGTTTAGCTTCAGCCTATGTTTCAGCATACAAGAGAAGAGGTCCAGTTGTGGTTTGCCAGGCGAAGTAGGGGGTGCTAAGCGGTTAATCCGATCCCTAATGTCCAACAGCAGTAGCATCACAGACGAGGATGAGTAGAACTGAGCTCCTTGTGTATATGACTGGTTAACCTGCTGCACGGCGCTGCGCAACAGGTCAGCATTAAACCGCAGACTATAACCAAACACCTGGATATCTGAAATCTTAATGTAGATCTGTCGCTTGTTTGGGTCTGCCAGATCCACTGGACCCTGTCCTGTATCATTCCGGAGGCCAGTCGGAACCTTAGCACGGCTGCGCAGGTAAATGTGCACTGTTTCAAAGAAGGTCTTCCATCTGTTACCCAGAAGAAGAGTCCAGTTGAAGCACTGTGAGTTCTGCAGTCGTGTTTTTTCCCATCGTGGATAACCATGTTCGCCAAAGGGCATGCTCCAGCCTTCTGAGTGGCTGCCGCTGAAAGGGTTGACATACACAAAAAACATGGGATCAATACTGCTATTTCGCATCTGACAGATTTTCATTGACAAACCGATGATCATGTGGAGGTAGTCCATTCGATTTTTGTTACTTTTAAGAGTCAGGGACATGCGCTTGCGCCATCTTGGGTCAAAGAATGTCTCCAGCCGGATCTCGTTGCTAATGAAAGTGGTATGTATGTACAACCTTGAATCCATTTTTTGCAGCAGGTATTTTAATTCCAGGTCCTGAAAATCAAGGTCAGTTTCAAAACTTATGAACTGCTCACTACGTTCAGAGTCCACATTCTGGGGCTCACAGCGGCCACGGTACAGCTTGTAGCCCTTGTTACAGGAGCCACATTGTGAGATGTTGGCCAGGCTGCACATGGCACAGCTGTTGTTGCCACCTATGACACATGGGATTGGTCGCTGGCACAGAGTTGCACCTGTGTGGCACACACATGCCTTTTGGCTCTCCAGGAAGGTACCCCAGAACCCATTCTCATTGCAGTACAGGAAGGATTGAACCCTGTTGAGCCACTGCATCACAGACCTGGAGACAGAAGGACCAAAAAGAAAATTAACAAAGAATTTCAATCAGATAAACAATGTTTGTCTTTTTTTTTTTTTTTCTTTTTTTTTTTGGGACGGACTTTTGTAAATATAACATTCAGCATCGAGTTTGAGAATGAAAAATATGATTGCCCCGAAGGGAAAAGACTTTTCCTATGAAGGAAGCATTAATTGCTATTCTTATCTTGTCTTTCCTTTCCCTCCAGTCATCTACCCTTGTAATTTTGATATTTCTGCAACTTATTTTTTAACCATAGCACATGATTCATATTTCTTTTCTCTAGCAAAGAAGGCTGGTCAAGGATAGTTTACATGTGTTAAAGATAGCCTCTGTGTATGCCCTTTGACGCCCTATCTCATCGGTTCTTTTCCCTGAAAAGAGATCAATTGGGACAAATTCTTTAAATAGCACATAACTTATATGTATAAAATAACCAGGAGACATGACAACAGATTCTGATAGAAATTGTAATCTTGCTCAGATCAGAGAAATTGCTTAGGGTTTACAGAATGGCAGCTGCTCACCTATGGGCTCACCTCTCAGAAAGTTCCTCTTAGTGAACTTACTTATAATTACTTGGAAGTGTGCATTAGGCCGAATATTGCAAACAAATGTGAGTGGGACTTCTGGACGAGAGTAAAACATTATTTGCGTCTTCCAGCATGATAGAGCCCCACGTCACAATACAAGAATGTAAAGATAGTAACCCAGAGTTTGTAAAAATTAAGTTTGGCATTAATGGTCAGTAAGTTTGCCTGATGTTTTCCCATCAATAAACTGTTTACAATCATCAAAAATCAGAGGGCAGGAGGCAAAAAAAAGACTAATTGACCCTCAAGTATAGATTAGGTAGGTGGGGTCACTGTTAATCAGGAATATTCACACAATCTTGATTTCCAGTATGCCAGGAAAAACTGTGACATTTTGGAAACATAAAGATCCGCACTGTAAACATGAAACTTGCACAAACTTAAAAAATTGCTTAATAAAGCATTTAAAATGTGCAATTATTGTAAAAAATGAATCAAACGACATTAAATCAGAAAACTTTGTTCAGAACAATATGCAAGTTTTATTTTCTTTTGGGCATTTTTTTGACTTTATTATGTAATAATATTAAGATATTTGTTAAGGTTATAGCAAAATAGCAAGGATATATTTCCTTAACACCCAGTAACAAATAACTTAAGAAGTGTGTAATGCTAAATTTAAAATATGGCTATTTTGTTGTATGGTAGATGAGCTCATCTTATATTAAAATAGTTTGACTCTGTATATGAATAATTTAAGTGAGCATATAAACTGGATGCAAATGACTTGGCTGGGAATGATACAACTCCATATCTGTCCCTATTAATCATTTGCATGAAGATTTCTAAGTTCATTGTACCTGAGGTAAGCTATTCAACTAATAAAGGAAATGCACTAGCAAATCTATTTAGGGTTCCACTGTGAGTGTTCTCAATGAGAATTTATTATCCTTGTAATATATGAAAGCATAGTGGTATAAACCCAGAACAATGATAAACTTGCTATATGTAGCTTTAATTATAGCAACCTAACTATCCAGTACTTACTTATTCAAGTTGAAATATATTTACTAAGTAGATATATTTTACTGATTGGGAAAATAAACTGTTGAAATTTAGAACTGTAAATCTTTTTTGGATTACTTTAGCTAAATGCTCCATTTAATTGTGCTTAAATAAGTAAAACAAAGAAGCTGTTTTATTATGTTAGATTTTGTAATTAAACTGAAAGCTGTGTGGGGTTGGAGTAATTTTTTGGCCCCTTGGTACGAATACATATTTAAATAAGGAAATTAAATATAACCTGCTTCTTGAGGCGTAATTGTGGCCAGCTACATATTACAGGACTTCTATTTTTAACTGAGGAATGAATATACTGTTTGTTTGTTTAATTCAAAATGCCCAAAGAACTAAAATACAGATAAGTATGTTACCAAGACAACACAGCATCAGTTTTTTTTTTCTTTTTCTCCTTTCCCTTCTTATAGCAAATTGCAACACATACACCTACTGTAAAATCTAAGACTGCCTATGAAGGAATAGCTTTATTATCCTTTGTGTGTTAAATATTTTCAAACTAGACAATCACAACTTATGGTGGGTTAAATTCTGCTGCCATGTGTAGAATTGATGTTCAAGTTAACAATAATTTAGGGCAGAACATATTTAAACCTTTCCATTTCACATGGTTTCCCTGAGGAAGCCCACTATATCCCACATTTGTTGTTCATATTGACCAGGCAGGTAGTGTTTCAAACTAATTTAGTGTTGGTGTAACACTAAATTAAACACAGCACTGGGGATATTTTATTTAATGCTTTGAAAGACTTTTAGTAGAGAAGTACAAAACATGTAATATGATGCAATATGGAATTACTTTGGTAATGTCCTCATTTGGGCAGGGTAATTCATTTCCCTTTAGGTGGCGGTAATATGCTATAGGTTTGCTGTCACACAGAAGAAAGGAGAAAGTTGCTATTGGCACACAGATCTAATCATTAAAGTACAAAAAAGTATTTTGCACACAACAGTAAGGGAAAATTTCTGTGACAGTGGCCTATGTAGAAGGAAGCTATTAGTTTCATGAAAACGTCAAAACCCTGGAATATGCTGGTGAAGATTCTCATTCATCCAGGTCATAGTCATTCCAAAACAGCTGAAAAACAAAATCCTGTGGATTTTTTTTTAGCTATTTTGGAAACCCTGGAATAAAACATCAACATGCTTTTGGTTTGAAAAAAACAAAAAATAAAAATAAATTAAAGCCACAAGTGGCATTGCGCGGCCCTCGCAGCTCGCACCGCCTGGTATGTTGCGATCGCTGGAACCAAGCGACCTCCACCTCCACGCTCCTTCCTAGCCTGTGCTCCTGCTCTTCAGCCTATACCTGCTGCTGCTTCTCTTTATCCTCCCCCTCCTTCTTATTCTGCTGCTGCCACTGTTTCTCCTCCACCTGCAGCCTCTCCTCCTCTTACTCATCCTCCTGCTAATGCAGCTTCTCCTCATCATCCTCCTGCCGCTGCTTATCTTGCTGCGTCTCCTTCTCCTCCTCCTGCTGTTGCTCTTGCTGCATCTCCTTCTCCTCATCCTGCTGCTGCTCTTGCTGCATCTCCTTCTCCTCATCCTGCTGCTGCTGTTTCTCTTCATCCCCTGCCTGCTGCTGCTTCTCCTGATCCTCTTCATCCTCCTTATCCTGCTTCTTTTCATCCTCCCCCATTCTCCTTCTGCTGTTTCTCTTCCTTACCACCCTCCTCCTCCTTGTGTTGCTCATTCTCCTCATCCTCCTGTTGCTCCTGCCTATCTTCATCCTTCCCCTCCTTCTGCTGCTTTTCTAAATCCTCCCCCTTCCTTCTACTTCTTCTTATTATCATCCTAATCATCCTCCTCCCCCTGTGCTCCTTCTCTTCATATTCCTCTTCCTGCTGCTGCTCTCACTGCGTCTCCTACTGCTGTTTGTTTCTCATCCTCATCATCCTTCTCCTCCTCCTAAAAGCATGGCTTTGTATGACTGGAGTTAACAGTTTGATGCTTAGCCACGCCCACATGCTTCCATGTAGAATAATAATTTTGATAACTTTTAAACTGCTATGACTATAGTCCATGTAAAGTTAATTTGAAGTCTCTAACTAAAAAAAAACCAAGAGCCCTTCACTCAGATATGTCATGACTTAAAAAAAGAAAATGGTAACTTTGATCCAAAATGGCTGACTTCTTGTTGGGTGTGGACCATGGCTTTAATTGACTTTTTTGAGCATCCTGTTGCGTTATACAGATTTAATAATCCTTAATAAAAGCAGGGCCTGAGGCAGTTTAGTCATACTCTAATGGCGAGAAGTCTAATTTTGATGCTTGGCCATGCCGACATGGTTTGTCACAGCAAAAATCTTTTGATAACTTTTGATCCCTTATGTCTTAAGTCTAGGCTCAGCAAGTTAGAAGTTTGCAGCCCAATCGCTCAAGGAGGAGTTAGCTAACATACAATATAAAGATGAAAAAGCTAATGATGGCTTTGATTCAAAATGGCGGACTTCCTGTGGGGTTTAGACCATGGCTCCAATATAACTTTTTTAGGTCCTGATGGGTTACATATGTGTACCAAATTTCATAACTCTCATTAAAAAAATGGCCTGGGGTTTGCATTGTGTTTCATAGCAAAGGGACCACATTTGACGCTTGGCCACGCCCACATGCTTTGATGTAGAAAA